CACGGCTGGAAATAGTAAAGAAAGCAAATAAAATTGTTCACTATCAAAAAACAAGAATTTTAACAGCTCGTATCTCAATAATGTGCGTAAAGTCTTATACTTCATAATTGCAAAAGTATACGTTCTTATGTAAAAAATCTTACAAGATTTCGGGGTAATATTGAAGCGCATATTTTTTTACAAGTTTGGCTTCTTTTTCAAGACATTTCAATTCATGCGCACCGATCTGGAACATGATCTCTGTACTCAAACAGAGATAAATGCGGAGCGCCTATATTAGCATGTGACCTTCTTATTATTCCAGTTAAACAAACATGGAGTACTATAAGTCGGAGGCGCTAGTGTCGATGGTCCTACCTGGAACAAGCTTCCGGCTCAGTTCCTAAAGTTTGCCCTGTGCCGTGATCTAGCAGCTAATCAGTTATGGTAAGTGAATAGTTTATTTCATAGAACTCCTGAAAATCAGCACGTAGGATTTTACAAAAGCAATTCAATGTTTCAGATGCGACTCCTTCTGTCTCTTTTCCTCCTAGTAGCCGTTTCCTGGATCATCCTTGACACGGTGGATGCTAGTGGCGTGATTCGGCAAAAAAGACAGTACTATGGCTATGGTAAGTGTTTTTATTTTTTGAGTTCTCTGAAAAAATCAGAACCTTCAAGAAAAATATTGCAGGTTACGGTGGATACGGCGGATACTATGGATGTGGATGTGCAACGTATGCACCTTGCCCTCATGGCAACGGTGGAGGTGGTTGGGGTGGTTACGGTGGCTACGGATACGGTGGCTATGGCGGTGGCTATGGTGGTTACGGTGGCTATGGATACAAAAAGTAGACAAGTAAACAAATCCAACAGAGATTTTCTACCACGATTTGTCAATTCCGCAGATTGATATGAATAAATATGAACTAATGGTAACAAGCGACTATTCTGGATTACTATTTTCGCATTCTGTTCAGATTGTTCAATTTTCAAGAACTAGTTGTATAGCGGGGCTTACAACATCTCCAGAACAACAGCGCAGGCTAAAATTTTATAAAATTTGCACCTACAGCAGGCATACGTTGAAAGAAGCACAGATAGACGTGATTAAACGATCTTTCTTATAATTTCTTAGCCTATGTTGCAGCGCTGGCAAAGCCTGGCTCTCTTAGAATGCATATTCGATTTAGCCGCAAAGATTGTCAGGAAAAAAATAAGTATGATATGAAAATCAAATCATTCTTGGTGTTGAATTTGGGAGGTTGGCAAGATAAGCATTAGATACTATGAAACAGCGCAGAGCAGAATCTACAAGGCAATCATTACGCAATTTGATAAATTGATGTCGGAGAGATGTCTGGAGCCAGAATCTAAAAAGTTATCAAAACTACAAGTTCACACTTTCTCAAATTTTATTGTTAAAAGGAATCGGCGTTCTCAAACATTCTGCGGGCATGCGCCAAACGCACACTACTTCATATTCGAAGAAGCAATTGTATGCTTGCGGGCCTATTACAATGAGTTGCGGGGGCCAGCCAGTACCATGTCAGTGCTTTTCTCCGAGATTAGTCTGGTACCAACTTAGCTGCCTCGAAAGGTAGAGGGCTTGGTTGGCCCAGTGGCGGAGATCGAACCTGTGTCCAACCAGGTCGTAGCGGCGCCCTCATACCACTACGCCACTCGTCCCCTTTGTAAAATTAAAGGCG